CTATTCAAATTTCCTTATACAGCAAACGCCTAAAATTATGATTATCGTTATTGAAATCTAATGTTAAACAAGGGGGGCATATTTAATAAGCTCGGCAGCTACCTTTGCATGTGAGTAGATCACTAAAATATCACAAGTTTTGTTTATAGAATCTGGACTTTGGAATTCTAGGTTATTAATATAGTGGGCGGATTCATTGTAAATATATAGTTGTAAATAGTAATTGTATTATTGTTTGTGTTTTAATATGTAAAATGTAACAAAGAAATCTCCTATACTTGTACAGGTTAAATTAAATTTATACATTTGGCAACCTGATAACGGAGACTTGGAAAAATTACCTTTTTTGCTCTTTGATTTGTATATAAAAGGAGCTAATTTTGGGTCGTAAGTAAATTTTCTTTTTGTTTTTCTCTTCCCCCTAAAATGAGCGATGTTGGCATAGAAGGAAAAAGTAATAGAACGCATGGTAGAGCTAATCTACCTTGTCCTGATTGTGATCGTCCAAGGATATCATATGGATGGTGTATGAAATGTGAATCAAGATGCATGGAAAAAAACTTTTCTTTCTGGACAAGTGGAAACAGTGAATTAGATAAATTAATTCAACGTAGTCAGATTTCAGCAGTACAAACTTGTGATTATTTGGAATTTATAAAATTTGAAGACATAGAAATTAGTAAATTAATTGGCAGAGGAGGTTTTAGTAAAGTATATAAAGGTGTTTGGATAGATGGACCGAGATGGAATTGGGATGAACTTGGGGACATTTGGTGTCGTAGCGGGCCAATAGAAGTTGCTCTAAAAGAACTAGATAATTCTCAAATATTATCATATGAATTCCTTGAACAGGTATTTTATGAATAAATTAGAATTTTGGTCAAATTGGTCCTAATTAAATTGTGAATTTTTTACGATGATTTCTTTATAAGCTATTAATAAAAGTTGTATAAAATAAAATTCTTAACATATTTGCTTAATAAATAAAAATGATAAAGCTTCAAAATTCAGCCATATTTCAAATATAAAGTTTAGGATCGGTCCTAGGGCCAGGATCTAAACTTTATATTTTGAAGATTTCTAATTTTTGAAGTTTTATCAGGTTAAGAATTTTATTTTGTACAACTTTTATTAACATTTCATAAAGAAAAATCATCGTAAAACTCAAAACTTAATTAGGACCAGTTGAGACCAGTTCGGACCAAAAACATCCCTAGAATTTGATCGATATTTATTTAAATACATAAATATTTTTTATTTATTTTATTTCACAATCGATCTTTCAGCTCAAAAAATATTATCAATGCTTGCACAATGGGACAATGGCAGACTGTTTTGGAATTACAAGAAATAATGAAACTGGCTGTTATTTGTTCGTTATGCGATATTATGAAAATGGTAACCTTTACGAATTTCTTGATAGAAATAAAGGAATTATTAGTTGGAGAGATATGGTGGATATGTTATGGGGAATTGCGAGTGGGCTGGAAAAAATCCATTCAGAAAACCTATTTCATTCGAATCTTCATGGAGGAAACCTTTTGATCGAAGATGAAACCATTTCAACGGATGCAAAAATTGCTGACATTGGACTTCATGGAAAAGCCGATAAGCCAATTCACCCTGGACATGTTATTGGAGTTTTACCTTTCATTGATCCGCAAGTATTACTTGGAAATCAACAACCAAATAAAGCATCCGATATTTATAGTTTTGGAATAATAATGTGGGTTTTGGCAACTGGGCTTAAACCACATCACAATAGAGCCCATGATTTAAAACTTGCCTATGAAATTTGTTACAAGAACTTACGCCCAGAGATAGGTGAAGACCTTAGATCTGAAATGCCAGCAGAGTATCATGACCTGATGACTCAATGTTGGGACTTATTACCAGAAAATCGACCGACAGCAAGTAAATTAAATGAAACATTGGGTAATTGGATTTCTGACATTTGTGATAACCCAAATCCTTCAGAAATTTCAAATAGTTTCGGCGATGCAGAAGAGAAAAGGTGGGAACTCATCGGTAAACAAAACGAAGAAAAAAAATTTCCATCCAATTTTGTTCACGAGGAGGCTATTTACACTAGTCGTATCTTTGACTTTTCTAAATTAAGACAATTTAATTAACCAACATATTTAGAATTCTGTGGAGCAAGATAGTAGTTTAACTAATATTTTATATGATTATGCTGGAATATCGATATTGGTTTAATCGGCCTCCAAAAAAATTATCGATGATGTTTTTATCCGATTAAAGTGTTTAACCTTTTCTAACTATATAGAGTACTTAGAGACAAATGACAACTTAAAAGTAGAATTAAATTTGGCATTAGGATCGTGGTTATAGACTTTATGATATTTTTCCTTTATAAGCTATTAGTCAAACTTCACCTATTTTCTTAGTAAGTTATTTATAGGAGATGAGCTGATAGATATTTCCACTGTAGATTTGTAATTTAAATTCTATTAATAGTGAGAGGACCGATTAGTATCTTTTATTCCATATTTATATATATTTCATTTATTTTCAATTATCTAGATTAAGAATGATAGATATTATGCAATAACCTTGTGTATGGTATTAAATTATCCGTATCGCCTACATTAGAACCTATTATTTCTAATAAAACACCCTATTACTAAATACAGTCTAAATTAGGTAATACAGGTCCTGTAAGGGAGTAGGCTCCCACGTCAGCTTAAACTGACTCATTTTTAGTAAGGTAGCGAAGAAGAATATGCGAGCACCATTAATATCTCTATCGAGCACTGTTTTACATTTAGGACAACGAAATACTTTAGACGCACCTAGCTTGTGGTGGATGTAACCACAGAATCCACAAGTTTTACTTAAAAATTCTCTGTACAAATAATTATTCGACACCATGGATGTTCACGTGCTTTATGGGCCAGATGTTGCCGAAAACGAAAATGTGACCACGTACACATAGCTCGAGCCGTCTTAGAACCAATACGTCGTTGCCCGCGTCTGATCACTCTTTGAGTGCAAAATTCTGGTAATATTATTACATGATAATTTTCACAAAGCCATATAACCAACTTACGATGACATTCATGAACTAGACAATGGATCCTCTTGTGAATACATAACATAACACGCCGTAGCCTACAATTAAAGTAATCAGTCGAATTATAAATGATATAAATCTGTTATTAAAAACTAACCTGTAACGTGTATGTTTGTTCCCTTTTCCATGAATCATATCTCATTTACTTTGAAGTTTGTCATATATATGACAAAGTCAATAAATCTGACCAATATCATTTTTTCCCCATTCAACAGCCATTTCACTTGGGTCATAACCAATCATAAAAGTATGTACACCTGGATTCAGAGCAATCACTCCCGATCCTCCCTTTTTTTAAAATATTCAATATACATAAATAATCTAAAAATAAAATAAAATAAAATAAAAATTAATTCAAACCTTTTCTTGATTTCTAAAATTAAAGAACCTTGGTTTTCAGTCTTTTTTTAAGCAGTTCAGGTATACAAAGATAAAATTCACCAAGATGATTTATAACAAGATAACTATCATTTTCAAGTTGTTTTGAAAGAGATTCTGTTAAGTTCATTTTATGAAGAAATAAGAATTCACTATGAGATTTACCCCAATGTTTAGAAAGTATTACAATTGATTGTTGTGGATCTTTTTTAGAACAGAACTTCATTTTAAATTTTATAATTTACAGCAAAATTGAATACATATCCTTTAAGTAAGTTATTCATTGCTTCATTTCATATATCATAAGGTGTTTCTAAAATCCACTTAAGTTTTGTTTTATTCTGAAAGTTTACAGCATTAAGACATCAAGCTCATAAGTTTTTTTTTCATTTGATATTTTTTTTTGACTGTAATAAAACATTGATTGTATGTCTATTAAGCTGTTTCTTTCATTGTCTGAGTTTTAATCATTCTTTCTAAATAGAAAAAAGGTAAATATGTTGTATTTTGCCTACTAGAAGTTTTATTACTTCCTTCTTGAAACTTTTGAATTACTTTAGCAGTATCTTTTTTTTTTGCAATTGGTGACAAAGCATAATTGCATAAAAAAATTCCGTGCCAGGTTTTGTCATTATGATGCAATCAAAATTTTTAAAGTTCAAAATGTTAGGGTTAGCATTTAGAATAAGGTTAGAGATTAGAAGTTTATATAGTAAAATTGCTCAAGAAAAACTTTTTGTTAGAGCACTAAAGATGGTTTTTTATGCAGATTTTGAGAAATAAGCGATTTTTGACAAAACAAACGTTTGGTTTAAAATTTCTTAATTGTGTTATATTTTACTTGATTTATAAAATCTGATTGGTAGTTTAGAGATCTGCACTACAATGATCGACAAAACCTGGAACAGAATTTTTTCATGCAGCATAATTTATTATATTCAGAGTTGGTCAAATCACTGGTCAACCAAAAATTCACTGGTCAAACTGGTCTGGTCAAATTGGTCGAATGGT